GGTTGAAAACCCCAAACCCTAAACCCTAAACCTAAATCCCTAATCTCCAAACCCTCAACCCCAAACCCTAAACCCTAAACCCTAAATCCCTAATCCCTAAACCCTCAACCCCAAACCCTAAACCCTAAACCCTAATTCCCTAATCCCTAAACCCTCAACCCCAAACCCTAAACCCTAAACCCCAAACCCCAAACCCTAGACCCTAAACCCTAAATCCCTAATCCCTAATCCCTAAACCCTAAACCCTAAACCCTAAATCCCTAATCCCTAAACCGCAAACCCTAGACCCTAAACCCTAAACCCTTGAAAAGGCTTAACATTGAGAGTTTTCGGCTCGAGGGCCCCTCAAACCCTAACCACTAAACCCTAAACCCTTTGAGGGTTTTGGAGGGTCTCGAGTTCAGGGTAGGTTAGGGTTCAGGGTTTAGGGTGTAAGGTTTAGGGTTTAGGGTTTAGGGTTTAGGGTTTCGGAGCCTTAAGTGCTAGAATAGGATGCTTCAGGCTTCTGCAAGGGCTCTGGAAGGTTACTATTCGGGTGGCAATACGGAGTAATTTTACAGGTGCCTTCTGTGTTGAAATAAGACTGTATGGATTTCTGAACAACTATCATACTAGGGATCCCTGATTAAGAGCATTACCAATTGAGGTGGTTTCGTGTTTAGGGTTTAGGGTTTAGGGCTTGGGGCCCAATATTAGCAGGCTTCACAAGGGTTTTGAATGGGTTTGAGATGTTAAGGATTTAAGGCAAGATTTTGCAAGGGCCTCGTACTGGCTCTGTTGAAGCTTTACAAGGGGCTTAGCGTGTAGGGTTTAGGGTGGGGTCTTCTAGGGCACTTAAGGCTTCTTGTATCGGCTTCCCCTACACCCTAAACCGTACAATGACTTGTTGCTTTACTTTGAGGGTGTCAAGGCTTTCGGGGGGTTTAGCACAGTGGTGTAAAGGGAAGGCTTTAGAAGTGCAGTGTCGGTTTGTAAGCTTTAAAGCTTTATCAGATTACAGCTCTGCGTTTCGAGTTCAGGGTTTATGGTGAGTTTGGGTTTTGGATTGAGGTGAAGGGTTTACGATTTTCGTGTGTTTTAACGACTGCTAGTGTTTGGGGTTGAGGGTTGCACGTTACCTTCCCAAGGAAAAGTGTAGTTTACGGAGCATTCCTTACACTTAAGGGTACCTTCTCACGGGCCAAACCCTAAACCCCAAACCCTCCCTTGCAGTCTTGACAAATACTCCTTGCCACCATGGGCACCTGCTCGGCGATCTCTAGGGTTTAGGGTTTCGGGTTTAGGGTTTAGGGTTTAAAGTTTTGGAGGGAATATGTCTTGTCACCACGAAGTTCGTATGTACTATAGCCTGTAAAAAACTCGAATAGGGCATTGGGATCTATCATACGGACTGCAGATATAATAAGGAGCCCTTACTAGTGGCAACCCTAAACCCTAAACCCTAAACCCTAAACCCTAAACTCTGAAACCCTAAACCCTAAACCCTATGTCGCGGGATTTTGGAGGGACTGGGTAGCCGGCTCAGGAGTCACGCTTGAGCAAGTGGCACGGACCTTGTCGCTCCGGGCTGCCGGCGTCAGGGTTTAGGGTTTAGGGATTTAGGGTTTAGGGTTTAGGGTTTAGGGTTTAGGGTTTAGGGTTTAGGGTTTAAGAGTTTGGGGTTTGGAGGTTTGGGGTTGAGAGTTTTAGGGCTTTCTCGTTCAGAGCTGAGGAGCAAGGAATGGAGCTCCAAAGGCTAGAAGCCCCAAGCCCTAGAGCCTTGTCGAAACCCTTGAGACCCTAAACCTTCGAAAACTCTAAACCCTAAACCCCTAAACCCTAAACCCTGAACCCTTGAAGCCCTAAACCTTGGAAACCCCAAGCCCTAAAATCCCAGAAAGCCGAAGCCTTGATAACCGTAAACTTTAAAGCCCATACATGGGAGTTCATGGGTAGTTATAAGTAACTAGGGTTATAAGTAGGATAGCTATAGCTATAACCTATATTAGGGGACTTATAACTCCACTTATAACTACCCATGAACCTCCAAGTACAGGACGAGAAAGTTCAGACTGACGGACCGATACCCCACTCCCGCTAGCAAGCCTTCGCATCGGGTTTTGGGACTTCTGGTAGAGGGCTTCGGGTTTAGGGCTTAGGGCTTGTATTGTGGGCAACATAGCTAAACCGTAAACCCCAAACTCAAAGCCCCAAAACCCAAAAGAACCCAAGAGGCTTCAACGGCCCTAAACCCTGAACCCTAAACCCTAAACCCTGAACCCTAAACCCTAAACCCTAAACCCTAAACCCTAAACCCTAAACCCTAAACCCAAATTGAAAACGGGCCATCCGTCTCGGCAAAACGTCTTGGAGTCTATCTCGGCACGACACAGGGGTTTGGGTTTAGGGTTTTTTTAAGGTTGAGGTACGCAGGATAGTACCAGGTGATGCGAAATCTGTGGAACCTCATACACAGCAGGTAAGCTGGGTTTAGGGTTTAGGGTGTAGGGTTTAGGGTTTAGGGTTTAGGGTTTTAATAAACTCCTTAGAAAACCCATGAAGCTCCTATGTTAGAGCTCTTGTTGGCCCGGAGCTGTGGCTTCAGAGCCCGCGGTCCTCAAGGACCGACCTCTGCTGAGGCTGCGGGCTCATCGTGCTCATTGATGTAGAAGCCTCGCAAGGACTCTTAGGGTTTGGGGTTTAGGGCTATGGGTTTAGGGTTTAGGGTTTAGGGTTTAGGGTTTAGGGTTTAGGGTTTAGGGTTTAGGGTTTAGGGTTTAGGACTTACCTGGATCCCAAATAACCTACTTTTTGAGGGTTCCTTACTATGGTTGCCTTGTATAAGTCCCTAAAAAGGTCGGTTAATTGGGGGGTTAAGGTAGTCCGTGCTGTGCTTCTAGGAACATCAGGGTCCTGCATTCTTTTCAACGGTTTCGTGAGGTTTCGCTGCGGCAGGGTTTAAGCCTTTTCAAGGGTTTAGGGTTTAGG